TTAATAGACTCGATTCCAGGCGTGCGTATGGATGGCTTCTCAAAGGTCTTCCAGTGCCCTTCCTGCAGCAAAGATGTGGTTATTCGTCAAAAGAAAGCCACGCCCACATCAACCGCCGAGCAGAGCGCCGCTGTACCCAACAGGACTGGGTAAGTACCACAGTTACCTTTGTCCCTGTATATGGCATAAGTCGTCGAAATGCACGTAAGTTTACGCCTCATTTCTACTCAATCCGAAACCGGCCCGGATGCGTCTATCGGAACTTCTAATAACGGAGAACTTTCGGATAAATTTAGTCGCAAAATGAGTAATATTACTTTTGCTAAAAGTACAATTTATGTAAGAAAATCTAGTGGTGTCAAAAGCGCAAAAATTCACTTTAAAGGAGTAGAAGCACATAAATCATAACAGCGCACTGATAACTTTGGTTAACGATCACTCTTCGACAAAGACAAGGGAAACTAGTATTTCCATGTTCGGCTCATTGGCCTTCATGGGCCAGTCGTACCTGACCCCAGGTGTTGCACCGATCGAACCCGCGACCTGTGGATCAAAAATCCAACGCGGTTTAACCATTGACTCACCGGCTCGTGTGGCCTGTTTAGATCGGGAGATATTCACACTCGTTGATTAACGTTCACCTATCGTTGACGGAATTCGCTCGTCCCCTTCTGCCTTCGGAGTCATTCTCGAGTCCCGCCAGCAGTCGCACAGTGGCTAGTATTATAGACAGACCGTCCTTGCCTGCAAAAATAAACACACTTTCGTCTTGAAATAGATCCGACAAAGCAAAGGGAAACCCGAATGGCCATTTCTGGCTTGTTAGCCGTCATCAGCCAGTCATACCCAATCTCTCAAGGGCTAGAGCCCCCGAGATTCGAACCCGGAACCTTAAGTCATTGCGTTTACACGCTACCATTGCACCACGGAACCACTTTCGTGTTTAGGGCATTGTGCTGATTAACGTTTACTAATTTTACCCTTTTCCAGGACAAATTGAAGGGAGCGTTGAGGTGTCCCTAAGTGCTCCTGTAAATTCCCATTAGGTTTCGCGAATTGTGTTAGCTCCTGTACTATA